GCCCTCTTCCTCTTCACGCAGACTGGTTTCCACAACTGTCCTCAGAGAGATGTTTTCCACCACACTGGAGGGAAACCAACACCCAGAGAGGGTGATGGCCTTGCTCAGGATCTCACAGCTGGGGAATGTAAGGACAGGAGTTGAAATGTTACCAAACTTGGAGCCACAGTCTGTACCTCAGGAAGCCAAGTTCAGCCACCCATCCTCGAGAAGCTAATTAAAACAATCAAGTTAATAACATGAAGAAGGGAGAGGTATTCAGTGTGGCCACACTGAGAAGAGGGACAAAGAGATCCACTGACCCCCTCGGTCACCCTTGGGGTTCTGAAGTGAGGCTAAATCTTTAAATAGGGGGCCATGGGTTTGAGTGTACACACACACACACACACACACACACACACACACACACACACACACACACACAGAGTCCTGGACAGAGTGTGGTCCTGCCCACTCCGGCCCAGCATTGACTTCACCATCACCCTGTAAGGTGCTCAGACAGTTGTTAGAAATGTGCGCAGTCCTTTCCCAAGAGACAAGGTCCCCACTCTGGCGGTGGCCTTTTCCTTGTTCCAGTTTGAGATTCCTGGGGAAACTGCCATGTCTCGGGGTCCATTGTTTCTGTACCTTGAAAGTCAGACTGAGGAACACAAGTGCCTCATTTTCAGAGTATCTTCATTTCTGCCATTTTACTTCTGTCTCTACAGCCTGGGGGCTGCAGGACCGACCCCCCCCCCCACGGGCCCCAGGTGCTCTAATTGTCTGCAGTGGCTGCGCCCACTTTCTTCCTCGGTGCTGCCGAGCCTTTCTCTAACTGCTCAGGATATGAAAGCCCCATGAGTCAGCCCCTCTGCCAGTGGCTTCAGCTTCGGTTTCCGCCTCTCCCTCTCCGTAGCGCAGCTTCATGGGCTCCTTCCTGCGTCTGTGTGTCATTTTGAGCTGATGGAGGAGGGGGAGCCACTGGCCCTGGTTCAGGCAGCCTCTCCCTTCCCTTACCCTCCCCCCTCCGCCGCCCCCAGTGGCCAGCTGAGATTTCTCATCTGTCACGTGGTCCTAGCACTGGCTCTTCAGGAATGCTGAGGGACCACATCTGGCAGTGACGGGGCTGCCACCTCCCCCTTCAGCTGCCGGTCTCCCACACGTGCCTCTTCCGCTTAGGTGGTGGCGGGGCCTGCTCTCTCAGAGGCTGGCTGGGCCATTCTATGGAGTCATTTCCTCTCCTTGCATTGATTGTCCTGGCGTCCCTGCCTCCCCTCCCGGCCTTGAAGGGTTGTAAGCAGTGGGAGGAGGTTTCTCTTTCTCCTTCAGGCTTCCTGTCTGGGATGTGCTGCCCCTCCCCCAGGAGGGCTACGGGAGCCTAGAGGACACCCAGAGAGCCTGGCTGTGTGGGAATTTGACTGTGGATTTCCCCAGGCTGGGAAACAAAGATAAGATTGGGGGCAGGGCTTAGGCTGAAGGAAGGGGCCTGAGTGTGGACCAGTTCATTCATCCGCCCTCCCATTCATCGGTCCGCTCATTCATTCATCCTCCCATTCATCTTCCCACCCATCCATCCATCCACCTATTAATCTTCTCCTCCACCCACCTAATCCATGCGTCCATCCCATTCCATCCAATAAGGGTCAGGAAGATGGTCCAGCAGAAAAAAGGCGGCTGCCACCAAACCGAGTTCAATCCCCGGACCCTTATGGTGGAAGAAGAGGACTAGCTTCCTTTCCATTCTATGAATATCCCCCTCCTTACTGAGAAGGGATAGGGAGCCTGCCCCCCAGCTTTAGACCCAGCTCTCCCTTTGCACTCCCACCCCCAGTCCGGACAACCCATTATTTTGATCCCTCCTTGCTTCATTTAGCCAGGGCCCAGGGTTCTCAGAGCAAGTGAGGTGGCCCTCGGCCCTTGGCATGGTGAAGAGGCAGAGGTGGCCTCACTCCCCATCCTTCTCCATAGCCTCATGGGCCTGGGACTCTCAGGGGAGAGCTAAGAGCTGTGCACATGATGTCCAGGCTACCTGGGGAAACCTCTCCTGGTCCCTGGGTCTGGCTGCCTAGAGTCTGTGGAGTTTTTTTGAAGAGGATGCCTTGAAGAGAAGATGACACTTGGGACAGCGTGGGAGAAAGGAGAAAGTTCTAGGAGGCAGAGGAGGAGGGAAGGAACAGGCTAACACCCAGAGGCCAAGCCTGCTTCTTCATCTTCAACTTGGGGAGGGGGCCTAGTCCTTGGGGGATTAATACACCCTCCTCTCAAGTTCTTGCTTCCATCACCCCGCACTTAAGAGATGTTGGAAGGACTGAGTGTTGGGTTCAGGAGAGCTCGTCCACCAAGCCCCTGACTTTTAAGTGTGTGTCCCCTCCTGGTGGCAAGGGGTCCTGTGTTGTCCTCCTGCTCTGTTCCCTGTGTTTGTAGGTCCCTTCCCCGGCTAAGCCTCCCTCTGTAGGAAGCCCTGGACAGGGAAACAGGTGCTGAAACCTCAGCCAGCCACTCAGCTGACAAGATTCTGGTGAAGCCGGGTCCAGGGGAGACACACCACCTGTCTGTCCAGGCAGCTAACGGCTGAAGGGCAGAGATTTTCTGCATTGTCAACATGCTAGCCAGCTCTGCCAGATTTTCCCGCTGTCACCCCTGGGAGGGACATCTCTTTGGGACAGGGGCTCAGTCTGTGCAACCAGCTGCTGTCCACATTCAGGGTCTGTCTTTCCTCCCTTGGGGACAGAGAGGCAGCTGCATGCCTACCCCAGCTTTGGAAGTAAAAAGCCTATGAACTCATTTGCGCAAACCCATCCTTGGGGTGCAGCCTGGGAAACGTGATGGAAGTGGGTGCTTGGAGGTCGAGGCACTGACAGCGCGGACACACAGAGTGCCGTCTGCAGGCTGGCATCACTGGGAGCAGACAGCCTTGTGTAGACTTGCTGAGTTAGGGTTTCGTGTGGGAACAAGATGGCTGGGTGATCACCTGCAGGACCTAGGCTGAGTGAGGTTTGTGTCCCAGCTCCCTAGTGCTAACTGTGTGACTTTAGAAAAGTGACTTCATCTCTCTGAACCCCAGCTCCTTCATCTGCAAAGTAGTTTTGGATAATACCCCGGGAAGATTAGTAATTTGTGTGAACGCCAATGTGTGTATGAGGGAATGAGTCCCGTATGTGAGACCCAGACAAACCTCTGTCAATAAGTAGCTGCTGTTCCTGTCTGGAGATCCAAAGCCATTACTTGGTTGGTGACGGGTAGGTCTGAGGAAAGGTTAAGGGTATTCTTCTGCATTCCAGGGGTGTGGGGAGGACCAGTGCTGTGCCCGTCTCTCTCCTTCAAGTGCTTGGTTGCTCCAGTTGTTGGCATGAGAGGGCCTAACCCCAAAAGCTGGACTGCAGCCAGTACCACACACTCTCCCTTGTACCTTCTCTGCCCTCCCCATCAGAGCAGTGTGGCCAGGAGCGATGATTCAGCCCGGACGGGACTGTGTCCTGGGCCTTCACCTCCCCTGAGGGAAGCTCCAAATGCCCTGGGCTGCTAGCAGTGGTGAGGAGAGCCTGGCACCCCTGCTCCTCTCAATGAGAGGTGGCCTGGTTCTGGATCTGGCCACATCTGTGACATCCTGTGTAACCTTGAACAAATGCAGCCTAGGTCTCAGTTTCTCTCTGGGTTCAGGGGTTGGGGGGTGGGGGTGGGGGCATCTAGGGAGAGAGTTCCATTCACGTGAGGCCCTGAGATCCCTTCTGTGTCCTCTGTACTCTGGAGTTCCAGGGCTCAGGGCAGATATAGACCCTGCCATGCCACTGGTTAAGGCGGAAGTAGACCCATGTCTCCCGGGAGCCTGGCAGGGCCAGCTTGTGTGGAGAGAGGAGACATTTTCCTCAGTGTGTGCAAACAGTATCCATTTTCTCTTGTTTCCAAAAGCTGGTGATGTAACCAGCCCTTCATCCAGTCCTCCCCTCTGGCCTATTTTTAGCCTGGCCCCACAGCTTCTTAAGAGGCTCAGACCTCCTTGCTCAGCGACCATGTAGGGAGGGTAGTATGGAGTGAAGAAAGACAGAAGCCTGTCTGTTTGTCCCAAGGCGGAGGAGAAGGGCAGGCGCAGGCTGCCAGCTCCTCCGGGCAGGGAGGGTATCTTAATGAGGTGTTCATCCTTGGAGGCTGAGTCTTGGCTCCCCCTGTCCCAACCACACATTGGGAAGGGTCTCTCAGCCATGCTTTGTTTGTCAGCTGTGACGTGGGGATGATGGTGGCATCCATCCCACCCACTGCTGGAGGCCTGAGTCACATCATGTAAACCTCTCTCAAGAGAAGCTGGTGCTGTTACCTTTGCTAGTGCCCAACACCCCCCCCCATTGTCAGAGCCCCCTGGAGCTGCCTCTCCCCATTGCCTGGTTAACCTGTGTGCTTGCCCATCTTTGCCGCTTCAGCTTCTACCAATGCTGTGTACACGAAACACTATGCACAAAGTCCTCAGTGTCTGGCATGCATGAAACACTGGAGCGGGGAGGGCTGGACCTACCCATGGATTAGGTGTGGGCCTTTGGGAAAGCTATTTAACCATCGAGCTTAGTCTCCACATCGACAAGACTCTGAAACCTGCACAGGCAATTTCTGTGGCCTGTGAGGCGTGCAGCAGAGCACATAGCCCTGATTTTAGTGTTTAGCATGGTAAGCTTGCTTCTTAGAGAGGAGTCCTAAAGCCTGGCTTTGGTTCTCTACCTTACAGCAGCAGCTGGACCAGCAGCATCTGTGTAGCCCTTTACAGTTTGCATGGGATAGGCAGCAGTCTTTCCCATCTCTGTCCCCATAGTACCATGCTTGTGCCTCAGAGGTGGTATTTGCCACCACTGGACCCTGTGATTAGCACCACTCCAAGGTCTTGTTGCTCCCCCTACCTCTAGGTAGGCTGGGAGCTTCCTGGAGGGCAGGCAGCTTTTCCTAGGCATCTTCCTTGCCCTGCTTGGACGATGAGGTGGGAACTGGGGGCAGGCAGGAAGAAGTCCTCTGACCATTTGTTCTTCTTGCTGTTCCAGATGGGAGGAAGAGCTATCCAAGCGTATGGACCTTCAGACCATGGTAGACACACTGCAGGAGGTAAGAGTCCCCGGGGTCCCCAGCCGGAGGGGTTGGCAAGTTAGCTATGAGGCCATGCTGGGAAAAGCTGGGCAGAGTTCGAGCTAGCGTAGCCCCTGTCCTGCTTTCCTCTCCTGTCTCTCAACCTCCAGGTGCCACTTGGGATAGGTGGTCTTCAGGTCTCTTTCACCTTCCAATGGCAAATTCCTCAGATTAGGACTGATGCCCTGGAGAGACCTGGGAACAGACATATCCTCTGGTAGCTTCCAGCCTCCAGGCAGGCTCGGGGCAGACCTGAGGACATTCACCTTGTTTCTCCCTCTGGCTGCTCTGCATTCGGGGCTGCGCCACTCATACTTACTGGGAACTCTGAGCAGCACGTTTTATCCTCAGCCCGTTTTCCTTTCTTCTCTGTCACAACCAGACCAGCAACACCATGAGAAGGCAATGCAGAGTTAGTTGTTGGTTTTTTTTTTTTTTTTTTGACAGCCGGGTGTGGTGGCTTGCACCTATAATTGCTTGGGAGGCGGAGGCAGGAGGATGAGGAATTTAAGTTCAGCCTGGGTTGTGTAGTGAGTTCCAGGCAGCTTGGGTTTCATGAGACCCTGATTCAACAAAGCAAAACAATGTGTTTTTAAAGATGGACCCCTTTGCCTATCTTATGCGTAGCCCCAATTTTGATCTCTAGCACCATGAAAAATATTAAAACTGAGAACTAGTTGTTTCTAGGATGAGTTAAAAATTCAGATCACTTTCTGACGTTTAAAGAATTTATTTTCTAAGAAAGTGAGAGACACAGCTCAGTTGGTAGAATGTTTGCTTAGTGCGCACAAAGCCCCGGGTTCCCAATGCAAACAGTGCAAACAGTGGTGCACACCTGCAGCCCCAGCGTTTGAGACGTGCAGCCAGGATGATTGGTTCAAGGCCGAGCCGGGCATGTCGTCAGGCACCTTTGACCCCAGCATTTGGGAGGCAGAAACAGGTGGATCTCTGAGGTTAAGGCTAGCCTGGTCTACAGAGCAAGTTTTGAGACAGCCAGGGACACCAGAGAAACCCTTTCTTGAAAAACAAACGAACAACAACAAAAGAAGTTTAAGGTCATCCTCAAAAAAAAGAAGTATAGGAAAGAAACAAATGTCTTTTTATTATTAAAAAAAAATAGGCACCTGGTGGACTGGCAATTGGTTGACATTGTATTTCTAAGTGCTGGGGAGCCTGCTTTGCTCCTGATGTTTTCCTTCGTCGTACCTGACCCGCAGGAAGCGCTGGGAGCAGGCGGCACAGCTCGGCAGCCAGGCTGGGCTGAGGGACGCAGATGTTTAGCTTATGTAGACACTGAGTGGCCGGGCCTTGGACCCAGGTGTCCATCCTCTCCTCCTCTTAAAGCCTGCCTATCTCCGTCCGTCCGCAGGCAGCGCAAGAAGCTGAGGCTATCCAGGAGGAGATGAACGAGAAGATTGAACGGCTCAAGGCCGAGCTGGTGGTGTTCAAAGGGCTCATGAGTGACGTAAGTGGTATGGCCATCACCCTAGGCATCATGACCTCCCTTTACCCATCATGCCAAACGCTTCATTCACTCCGAGGCTCGAGCTCGGCTTATAGTTACAGTCGTGGCTGGCTGGTTTGTTCCTATGAGGGATGCACTGGGAACCAGGTGCCTCCCTGCCCTCCCCACATCGCTTCCCTATGTCTGAATAGAGGTGCTTTAACCGCTGCTTAACCCATCGCCCTCCTCCTCGGGCCCCTGACATCTGTATGTGTTGCTCGATTCTCCCAACTTGGCCACGTGGCGACCTCGGTGTCTGCAGAGCACAGGCGACCGAATGGACGTGGCTGTGCCAACCCAAGAGACTTCAGGCTCAGGGAGCCCGCTCTCCTGAAGGGTGTCCTTGTTCAGTTGGGAATGGTTGGCGTGTGCGTCTTCTTGGCCATCTGGGGCCCCTCTGAGTGACTGACCATGGGTAGAAACAGCTGTTAGCCACATAGGCCTCCCTGGCTCTTGGACCTGGGTTACTTGCTGCCTTCAGGCAGTGGGCAGTCTGCCAGGAGAGTCCACCTGAAGGAGAAGGAGCCTGAATTTGGTGACTCAGCCTGGCTCAGCTCCTGGCTTTCAGGGACATGCAGTTGCTTGTGGTTAGATGAAGCTGTGGGACCCAGGTGGAGGCCACATGTCTTCTTTCAGTTGGGCACAGAGGGAACCCTTCCTCTTTCGATGTGACCCCTGCTGTCGTCTGCGGCAGGAATCTAGAGAAAGAGCTGCTGAGACAGGCATGAGGATGGGAGCAGAAGGGGAGTCTGTGCATTTCTTGTGTGTGTGCTGGAGAATTAAACCAAAGGCCTTGACCAAGTGACACCCGGCCTTGGAAGGCTTCCTCTCAACACTCTCAGCGTCCTTGTCCTATGCTGCCACCAAACCAACATCGCCATGCCCTGCAGCCCTGAGGGGGACCAGCACACACCGCCTCATATCTTCCCTCCTGAAGTCCCCATGCCCCTTCCTACCCTGAATAGTGCTGACCAGTCCTCCACCGTTAGGAAAGGCTCGACACCCGCTCCCCACACCACAACCTTCAACACCTGCTCCCCCCACCCTGCAACGGACTCCAGGGGCTTCCCCACCCCTAGGGGTCTCCCTCCTCCTCTGACGGCCCCCTCATGCTTGCTCCATCCCTGGCTCACATAACCCCTGCTGTCCTCCCTGCAGCCCATGACAGACCTGGATACAAAGATCCAAGAAAAGGCTATGAAGGTGGACATGGACATCTGCCGCCGAATCGATATCACGGCTAAGCTGTGCGATGTTGCACAGCAGCGGAACTCGGAAGACGTGTCCAAGATCTTCCAGGTGACCAGGGCCGGCCCCGCTCACCAGTCCCCACCCCGACCTCATAGAGCAAGCCCTGACCTCTACCACACCCAGTCGATGCCTCTTTCCCTCTACATTTTGCTCATTACGCGCCCCACCCCACCCCCGCCATCCTGAGGTAGTCAGTCACCTGACCCTCTGACCTCCCCTAGGGAGACACAAACTTGGGGATCTGTAGTTCACAGCTGAGGAGACTGAGGCCCTGGGGGCCCATAGGACTTACCAAGAAAGGGCATGGTAGAGCCGGCTGGAACCTCCTGTGCCCACCGTTCCTCACAAAGCCTCTTTCTCTGATACTCTGATTTGTTCCCATGGATGGGGGAGCCCTGACCAGGTGGTGGGGAGCCCTGACAACTGGCCCTCAGGATTCCTGAAGAGAAGCTATTGGCGCTTGCCTAGTTCCCATTCCCCTCCCCTGGTTTCCCATGCGCGAGAGAAGGCAATCGGTTGGCACCAGTGGACAGTTTGGGAGAGGGCCTGGGTGTGGTCCTCCTGACAGTGGGCACGCGTCACTCTCAGAAGTTTCGGGTCATAGTCTGGCTTGTGCTTTAGCCCAGGGCAGTGCCGTGGTGTGTTGTTGCTTTCTGTGTGTGACTCTGGACTTAGTGGTGGGAGGTCGGAGCCTCCCCCAGTCCTTTCACCATCTCATGGCTCCTCGCTGCTCCCTGAGGGGAGCTATGCAGCCCTCGTTTGCTTGGGTCTTGTCGCTTGGAGCAGAAGTTTGGTGAACCACCCCCATGCCTCTGCATGCGAGAGGGAGATTCTGAAAGCATGCAGCTCTTTTGACCTTTGACGGGGTTTCTTTACTTCTCTGACTGGCTTTGAGACATCCCAGGTGATGATACCTTGGTCTGGCCTACCATCGTTCCCAGTCACGAGACTGCTTTTCTGGTGATGGGTGAGCTGAGCTGGCCCGGTCACTAGCCCTTCCCCGGGCAGGACTTGGTCCCTGTGTCTGTGTCCTTCACCCTGCATGCCTCATACCTCACGCTTTCTGCTAACGCTGCACGCTTGTTAGAGGACCTATGCAGCTCCCTGCGGTGGTGGCTGGCCTCAGCCATACTCCATCTACTCCTTGGGACAATGGTTCCTGTCCAGGCTCAACCCCGCTCTCCGCCCCAGGCAAGCACCCCAGTTACCTTGGCTTCTTCCTTCCCTGCCCAGGTGGTCCCTAAGAAAAAAGATCGTAAGGTGGCTTCAGATGATGACATCGCAGAGCAGGATGGGGAGGTGAATCGGTTCTCAGATGAGGAGGTCGGCTCCATGAACATCACGGATGAGATGAAGCGAGTGTTCAACCAGCTGTGAGTACCCAGGTTGCCCAGCCAGGGGACATATCAGTGGCTGGCTGAGAAGATCCCCAGATGTGAGAGTTTGGATTCTGTGTGTGTGTGTGTGTGCGTGTGTGTGTGTGTGTGTGTGTGTGTGTGAGAGAGAGAGAGAGAGAGAGAGAGAGAGAGAGAGAGAGTGTGCATGCGTGAGTGTGTGTATGTGTGTGCGCCCGTATGCGAGTGTGGGTGCACAAAAGCCAGAGATCAGTCTTGGGTGTCATTTCTCAGGTGCTTGTTTCTGGGAGTCAGGGTCTGTCATTGGCGTGGGACTTAGGTTAGACTAAGCTGACTGGCTAGCGAGCCCCAGGGATCCACCTGGCTCCTCCTCTCTAGTACTGGGGTGGCAAGTGCACACAGTCAGACCAGGCCGGTCTCGAACTCAGACATCTGCCTACCTCTGCCTCCTGAGTGCTGGGATTAAAGGTGTGCGCCAGCACCGCCTAGCTCTATGCCTGGCTTTTTTACTTGCATTCTGGGGACTGAACTCAGGTCCTCAAGCACTTTACCTACTAAGCCATCTTTCTAGCCCCTGGATTCATTTTTTTTAAAGATGTCTTTTTAAAAAAATTAAAATGTATTTATTTTTAAATTTTATATATTTACTTTTATTGCATGAATGTTTTGGCTGCATGTATATTTTTGTGGCGATCAGAAGAGGACATCAGATCCCCTGGAACAGGAGAACTTAGAGAAAGCTGTGAGCCAGTGTGTGGGTCTAGGAATCGAGCCCAGGTCCTCTGCAAGAGCAGCCAATGCACTTAACTGCCAAGTCATCTTTCCAGCCCCTATTTTAATTTATTTTATTTTATGTGTATGAGTGTTTTGCTTACATGTATGTCTATGCACCATGCATGTGCCTGGTGCCTACGGAGGGCAGAAGAGGGCCTCACGTCCTCCAGGACTGTAGTTGTAGATAGTTATGAGCCACCGTGTGGGTTCCCAATAGAACTTGGGTCATATGGAAGAGTAGCCAGTGCTCTTAACCACTGAGTCCTTTTTCCAACCGTTTAATTTTATGTGCCTTGGTGTTTTGCCTGCATGTATGTCTGTGTGATGGTGTTAGAGCCCCTGGAACTGGAGTTACAGACAATTGTGAGCTGCCATATGGGTGCTGGGAATTGAACCCAGGTCCTCTGGAAGAGCAACAGGTGTTCTTTGCTAGATTCTTGATTAAACAGAGAGTTTGGGAAGCTTCCTGTTTTAAGCCTCCCTTTGGAGTCTTGAGGCCAGATATCACATGGCACCCTCCATGGCTGGGTATCTAGTGCCTTCCATATTTGGGATTTGTGCCCATGATCCTTTATGTCACCTGCTACCCTCAGTTCTTTAGAGCACACCCTACCCAGAGAGGTGTAGGAAGACGATTGTTTCAACTAGGATTGGCCTTCCTTGCCCAAAGGGTGAGAAGGCAGGGCTGTCCTGTCTCCTCCCTCTTCATGTGCAATGCTGTCTGATGACATCATGTATCCAGGAAGGGCCAGGAGTGTGGCGTCCCCTCAGTGGGCTGTCCCCAACCGTGCATCATACAGTGTCCCCTCAGTGCGCTGTTCCCAACTGTGCATCATACAGTGTCCCCTCAGTGGGCTGTTCCCAACCGTGCATCATACAGTGTCCCCTCAGTGGGCTGTTCCCAACTGTGCATTACAGTGTCACCTCAGTGGGCTGTTCCCAACTGTGCATCATACAGTGTCCCCTCAGTGGGCTGTTCCCAACCGTGCATCATACAGTGTCCTCTCAGTGGGCTGTTCCCAACTGTGCATCATACAGTGTCCCCTCAGTGCGCTGTTCCCAACCATGCATTACAGTGTCACCTCAGTGGGCTGTTCCCAACTGTGCATTACAGTGTCACCTCAGTGGGCTGTTCCCAACTGTGCATCATACAGTGTCACCTCAGTGGGCTGTTCCCAACTGTGCATCATACAGTGTCCTCTCAGTGGGCTGTTCCCAACTGTGCATTACACAGTGTCCCCTCAGTGCGCTGTTCCCAACCATACATTAACACAGGCCCTCTCTTGCAGTCTCTCTTGGTGGGCATGGTTCATGGGAAGACCTTTGATAGTCACCAACTGTCCTTCACGAAATGACACTTGACTTCCTCCAGACCTTTATCAAGTGGGCAGGGTCATTATTAACCTTTTCAAAGGCTCTGAGGGGGCTCAGCAGGACGTGGCAGAGTTGGACTCGGACAGCAACCTGCCTCACTCATTAGCACTCCCTCCCCAGGAGATGCTGGCAGAGTGGCAGAGTCTGGCTTGAGCATTGAGCAGACAGCTGATAGCCAGAGCCACGTGGCACCAACCTTTGGGAACCGTGTGTGTGTGTGTGTGTGTGTGTGTGTGTGTGTGTTGTGTGTGTGTGCAGCCTCAGTGATGTCACATTGGTAGCTTAGACTTTATTATTGCATAAAATCGACACATGCCACCATTCAGGACTCCCCTACAAAACCTTACAGAGAACTGCACTAGAACCTATTGAATACATTGATTCGGGGCTGATGGCTCTGTGGCCTTGGCCTGCTTGGTGCTTTGTTCTGAACCCCCGATCCATTTTTTACTCTAATCTATACAGTACCCCAAGGTGGGATTGGGAGAGGGCACTGAGGGAGTCAGGAGCAGGGCTGGGAGCCCCACGCTCTTGGGCACCTGGGCTCTGAAAGCTCAGCTCTGCCACAGCGGGCACCATCCAAAGACCAGGCCACCAGCTCTTTGAGTTCCATGTAAGGGAAGCATTGCTGGAGCACACAGTACGGCAGAGCCAAGCCCACTTACATGGTTTGGTGCTGTGTCCCTTTGCCACCTTCCTGCTTGGAAGACATGTCCGTCTTCTGTCTGCTGCGTCACTGTTCCTGGCTGGTCCCTCTTTGGCTTAGATCAGTACTTAGAGAGGATGAGCAGGGTGGAGTTGGGAGTTCCTCACCTGATGTCTGATATTTGATACCTACATTCCAACAGAACCAAGATGGACATTTGCGATTGATAATGCCAAGGACACCCCTTGACTCTTGTTTTGTCTTTGAACTGGAGTCTCCCTCCAGATCAAGAAGGGATCCCCCAACCACCACTTTTTTTTTTTTGAGATAGGGGCTCATGTAGCCCAGGCTAGCCTCAGGCTTGCTATATAGTCTAGCATGACCTTGAACTTCTGATCTTCCTACCCCCACCCCATGAATACTAGGACCCATGCCTGGTTTCTGCAGTGCTGGGACTCAAACCCAGGGCCTCCCTTGCATGATGGGCCAGCATTCTCAACTGGTTTTCCCCAGGTTGCTCTGGGAATTTCTGAGCCTACGTCACTATTGGATGCTCAGACACCCCAAATCCCCTTCCGTATTTCATGAAGTCCCTAGGGAATCATTAAACTGGTCAGAATTGAGGTGCAGTGCAGAGGTACCCATCCAGAGGGTTGAGTTGGGGGTGCGTTTGGAGAGGGCTCCTTCTTGTGTGTGGAAAATGCATTAATCTGGGAACAGTGGAGAAGTGATCCCTCATGCGGTCTGCACTGGAGTGTTGACAGGGCTCAGCGTCTAATTAGATCTGTCTGACTTTAAAATTGCCTAAATTAAAAAAAAAAATCTTTGATCGCCCCCTACTCCTATCCTGTTGCTCTAGCTGGTGCTAATGGCTCATGCAGCGGCTTTTCCTTCCTACCTGATAACTCCGGGAGCCCACGCCCCAGCCGGGTGGTTATGCCCCCTCCCCCCAGCCATTTAGTTCTAGTGAAGCTTTTGATGACACGCCCGTGTCAGAACCCTATTTTGTTTTGATCCCGATCAGTGGCTTGGGCTTCCGACCAAGGCTGAGAGGAATTTCAACCGCCTTCCAAAGTCCCAGGGAGGGGTGGGGGCTCTTTCGGCCTCTGCTCTCGTCCATCTTCCTGTCCTGGCTAGCCATCCCTTAGCGGGGTTTTCCTTCAGATCTCAGACGCTGGAAAGGAAGTGAAGTCAGTAGTGGACTATGTGATTTGCTAATGGGTGGACCCCAGGGGCTCAGAATCGCCTCCCCCTCCAATATCCAACCCCAAGCTTGTTTCCTGACTCTCGGGCGCCACCTATAGGCTCCTACAAGAATTGCTTTTGGGCAGCCTGGCCTACCTCTAGGGAGCGCTGGAGGAAGCTTTTTTTTTTTTTTTTTTTTTTAATCAGAACTCACTCTGTGTCGCTGCTGGTTGGTCCCCAACTAATAACATTGTTGAACGATGTAGAGCAGAGAGCAGAGCTCAGAAGAGTCAGGATAGAATAGAATAGAAAAAGGGGACTCATAGACAGTGGGAGAACCCAGAATGGAAGTCTGCAGATTCCTCTGTGCCACTGATGTAAACTCAGCCCGATATCGCAACATAAGCCTGTAATCCCAGGATTTACTTGTCTGTTTTGGTTTGGTTTTTGAGGCAGGGTTGCTCTATGTAGCCCTGGCTGGCCTAGAACTTACTACGTAGAGCAGGCTGGCCTCGAACTCATAGAGGTTGCTACTACATCCAGTAGATGGGATGATTTTTTTCAAAGGGGCAGAGCAATCTATGCATCTTGGGAACCAGTCCTGGGCAAAACCATGCAAAATTAGTCTCTTTCCTCCCCATTCTGGCCAATAGGAAAGACTCTAAAGTCACTTCAATTTTGAATTCAAACCCAACCCAATGTTAGCATCTATTCCTTTAGAAGGACACTCAGTAATCCTTGAGTCTTGGTTTGCTGAGCTGTAAAATGAAACTAATAATCTTGCAAACCTCCAGGTTGGAGGCTGGCCTTAGTTGGTATCAAAGCTGTAGAGAACCAGAAGGGTTGCAGCTGTGCCCCTGCTACATGCTGAATTTCCTTCTGAGCCGTGGTCCCTCAACTGCAAAACGTGAGGAGCATGGTTGGATTTGCCTTGCTCAATATGGTGGGGGTAGTCATTCTTCTTTTGACCAGAAGCATGTCTAAAGGAGAAAGAGGAGAGAGAGAGGAGGGAGAGAGGAGAGAGAGAGAGAGAGAGAGAGAGAGAGAG